TGTGTAACCGATGTGATTCTGCAATCTGCATTTGGGGTAAAATTGGGAGTTCATAACCCACTTCAATCTAATGTATGAAATATGATATGTCAAGAGCTTTGTAATGTTGTGAACAACCAATAAAAAAAAAAAGGAATATACTATTACTGTTTTTACCTCCCTCCCTGGGTCCGACAGGGCTCAGGCAATAAACAAAAATTAGAGAACAGAGGAAATTTTGTTTGGAAGCATGTTCTGGTAACCATGATACTACAAGTACATGACCCAGTGCTTTTCACATAGTAGGTGTTTGTTTAAAAGAACAGATTAACCTAAATGACAGACTGTTGATCTGAGAGAATAGAGATTTTCATAAAATAGACTTTTCTCAAATTGGAACTACAGAATCACTAGAGATTTCAGGTGGGTTTTGGGGAGTAGGTGGTGTGAGTGGACATTGCTGTCTTTTTCTGTCAGGAGGTTTCCCAACTTATTCTCATGAGCCCATGATTCTCTTCAAAGTTAAAGAACAAACCACCTTGCACATTAAGAGACTAATTCCATGTAAATTAATAAACATTACAGAACTCTTTGGTGTTTTTTTTTTTGTTGTTCAGCTCACGTGGGTATCAAATTCAGAACAAAAATTAAAAACACAATTAAAATTAGTTGAGTCTGATGCAGGGGTAAAAGAATAAAAACTAAGAGGTGGTGCTTCACTTAGTCATTCTTTGCTCTATTCAGAAAATTTATTGAACATATATATCATGCATTTTCCTAGACAATAGTTTAAAGTAGCAAAGAAAGGACATTGTTCATTCGTTCACGGAGTTTATAGACATAAATAGGGAACATAAGTGAATCTGTGAGGAGGTCTAAATATGTGAAAGGCAAGGATAAAGAAAGAGATGCAGACACACTCATAAGATAAAAAAAACAAATTAAAAACACTCTATCATAACATCAGGGTGTTGGGGACATTTTCTAAAACACACTATGATATGTATGTCATGAATTATCTCCTCAATTTTGCATTGGCACAAAATATATCCAGAGCAATTAAACATATAATTCAACTAATGTATTGTAGTACATAGTTTAGTTTAAATTTATTTTAACTGATAATAAAAACATAAAACATTTTATTTATGGAATACCATGTGTGTGTATGTGTGTGTGTGTGTGTGTGTGTGTGTGTATCATACAATTTTTTTTTTATCAGATGAAGCATATCTGTTAGAGCATTATACATAGTAGTTGGGCTCATTTTAACATAATCATACATGCATGAAATTTTATGTACTAAATTTTAGTTCCTGTTCCCCAATCTTTCCCTCTCTTCCTAAGTCTCCTTCCTCTACTGATCTTCCTTGCGCTCTCAAATTTATTTACTTCTGACTGGTAATTTCTACATAAACATAAAGGTGGAATTCACTGTAATATATTTATGTTTGCACAGTGTGTGATTTTGTTAATTTCATTCCACATTTCTTCTTCTTTCCTGCCCCTCTTTCATCCCTCTTGATCTCCTTCTGCTCCACTGATTTTCCCTGTATCTTTATGATATCTGATGCCTTCACCATCTTTTTTTAAATTGTGCTCTAGCTTCTACATATGAGCGAAAACATTCAATCCTTGATTTTTTTTAATCTGATTTATTTCACTTAGCATAATGTTCTCCACTTACATCCAATTTTTGTCAAATTCCATAATTTCATTCTTTATGGTTGAGTAAAACTCAATTATATATATATATATATATATATATATATATATATATATATATATATATATATATATATATATATATATATATATATATATATATTGCATTTTCTTAGTCCATCCATCTGTTGATGGGTTGATTCTATAATTTGGCTACTGTGAATTGTGCTGCCATAAATACTGATGTGGCTGCATCACTGGAATAGGCTAATTTTAGTTACATGGAATAAACTAAGGAGTAAGAAAAGTTGGGTCATACGGTGATTCCATTCGTAGTAATTTGAAGAATCTCCACACTGCTTTCCAGAGTGATAGTACTAAATTGCATTCCCATCAACAATGTGTCAGAGTCCCCCAGCCCCACATCCTCACCTGCATTTTTTATTTGTATTCTTGATAATTACCATTCTGGCTGGGGTAAGATAAAATCTTAGTGTAGTTTTGATTTCCATATACCAAACTTAATTGCTAGAAATGTTGAAATTTGTTTTCATATTTGTTGATCATTTGTATTTCTTCTTTGAAATTTCTTCTTTTGCCCATTTATTGATTGTGTTATCTGTATTTATGTTGTAAGTTTTTTGAGTTCTTTAAGTATTCTGGATATTAATCCCATTCAGAGGAATAGCTGACAAAGATTTTCTCCCATTCTATGGGCTGTGTCTTGATGCTCTTAATCATTTTCATTGTTGTGAAAAAGCTTTTAATTTGATGGCATCTTACCTATTGGATCTTATTTTTATTTCTTGAACTTTAGGGGTCTTGTTAAGGAAGTTGGTGCCTAGTAGGTGCCTGCAGTAATATGATGGGTTGTTGACTCTACATTTTCTACTGCTTTCAACATTTCTGATCTAATTCCTAAGTCTTTGATCCACTTTGACTTTCGTTCAGGGTGATAGATAGGGATCTAATTTCATTATTTTAGAAATGAATATCCAGTTTTCCCAGCATCATTTATTAAAAAGGCTATCTCTTCTCCAACAATTATTTTTGGGACCTTTGTCAAGTATCAGATGACAGCAATTACGAGGTTCGCTTCTGTGTCTTCTATTCTATTCTGCCGATCTTCATGTCTATTTTGATGCTAATACCATAATGTTTATATTAGTGCAGCTCTGCAATATAATTTGAGATCGGGTATTCTTATGCCTCCTTCATAGCTCTTCTTGTTTAGAATTGCTTTGGTTGTTCTGGGCCTCTAATTTTTCTAAATTTATTTTAGGCCTGTCATTTCTAGTTTTGTGAAGAATGTTACTTCTATATTAATGGAGATTGCACTGAATCTGAATATTGCTTTTGGTAGTACAACAATTTTGATAATATTAATTTTGCTTGTCCAAGAACATGGGAGGTCTTTCCACCATCTAAGATCTTCTGCAACTTCTTTTTTCAGTGTTCTGTAATTTTCATTGTAGAGATCTTTCACCTCCTTATCTTTCACTAATTCATAGTTATATGAATTTCCAAATATTTTATTCTTTTAGCTATTTAAAATATACAGCACATTTTCATTTTCTAAAGTCACTGTATTGTATAATAGCATACCTACTACTATTAAACTATAACTGGGTCAATTGAGTAACCTCTCCCCATCCCTCTCTTCTCCCTATTCTCCCCAACTTCTGGTAACTACAGCTCCACTGCTAACTTCTACATGATCAACTTTTTAATATTCTACATATGAGTGTGATCACATGCTACTTCTTTTTCCTGTGTCTTGCTTATTTCACCTAATACAATAATGTTCAGTTCCATCTACATTTCCCCAAATAACAGTGTTTCATTCATTTTAAAGCTTGAAAATATTCCATTGAATATATGTACCACATTTTTTTAATCTATTCATTGTTAATGGATACTTAGGTTCTTTCTATTCATTGTCTACTGTGAACTGTGCTACAAAAAAAACATAGATGTCCAGATGTGTCTTTTGACAAACTGCTTTCATTTCCTTTGGATACACAACAAGTAGTGGTATTGGTGGATCACTAATTTTTTGAGTTACATTCCTACTGTTTTCCATAGTGGATATACTAATTTACATAATGTGCAAGAGTTCCTTTTATCCTTCTTTCCAGTATTTGTTATCTTTTGTCTTTTTGTTAATAGTCATTTTAACTGGAGTGAGATGATTTCTCTTATGGTTTTGGTATGAATTTTCATGATGATTAGAAAGGTTTAATGTTTTTTCATAAACGATTGGCCATTTGTATGTTTTCCTGTGAGAAATGTCTATGTAGATCTGTTTTAAATTTAATTTTTTTTATTTTTAGTTTTTTAAAATTTTAAATTTTTTTCCTTTAGCTATTAACTGGTTGAGTTCCTTACATATTCTAGATATTAACTCTTTGCCAGATGTAATTTGCAAATATTTTCTCCTATTCTGTAAGTTGTTTCTTTATTCTGTTGTTTCCAGTGTTATGCAGAACATTTTGAGTTCAAAGTAGTTCCATTTGTCCATTCTTGCTTTTCTTTCCTATGCTCTTGGGGATTTTCCCCCAAATTCTTGCCCATTTCAAATTCTATTTTGAGTTGATGTTTTGAAATATTTTCATAAGTTGATTTTAATGTCCCTAATATTTTACTTAAGTCCTGTAAGTGAATTAAGTACACAACATGAGCAATGCATGATGTTGTGTTCCATAGGTGAAAAGAAATAAACTATAGGTCCTGCCATATATTAAAACGCCTTCAACTAAAACTTGAGAGTTATATTCAAAATGTGTTAGTGTTAATGAGAAAGAATTCAATAAAGCATAAGATCTCTTTTCTTCAGTTTCCTTAGGGCTTAGTGACTGATTTATGGCCACTGGAAACTATTCTTTCATATTCTCTGACAGGGACAGATCAATATGCAGCTAAAATATCAAAACTGAACATTTGTTATATGCTTTTTAACTTAGCAAAAAGGTACTTTGATGTTTCTTCCAGATAAATTGAAAACAAAACATAAAAGCTATGTTTTTTAAGCATTTTTGAAATCCTGAGAGTGGGGAACAAACCTTACATATTGTTAAGATGTAAACTGATTCATAGAATTGATGTAATTTATATATTTTCCACCAAAAATACCTATATACTCTATGATAACAGTAATATTTAAACTAGGATAAAGTGAAAAATAGCTAAAATTATTACCTCCAGTTATTTTTTACAAAAATTACTGATATAATCCCAAATATAATAAACCTATAACTAAACAATTTTATTATGATGTAAGTAAATCTACACCAAAATATCATTGTTTCTTCAGTAGGTTCAAATTCCAAACAGAGATATCTTTAATAGTACTCTCTGAATTATAAAGTAAATTAGCTGCATTTGGCACATACAGAAAAACATAACACTTTAATAATTAAAGTTTTTAGTGAGCTTGTGAAGATATGCAATTCTCACAGTGTTAATTAAAATTCAAAATGTATCCAAATAGAGCAAGAAATATTTATTTATTTAGAAAGCTTACTAATCTCAGCAGATCTCGAAGGTACTGGGGGTGGCTGTGTGCCATTGTGAGTAGGTATGGAGGACTGGTGTGATACTGGAGAAAATGGAATCATATCAAAGATGTCAGTGGAGGGTGACTTCGGTGTTACACTGCCAGCCTGCAATGAAGATGATATGAATTAGGTTGGCATTTCATATAAGCACTTATCACATAAGTATTTCAAATGCATAACAATACACACAAATAATACATATAAACAGCAAATTTTGTTGAATCATATAACTTGACATTCTATAGATCATGCAATAAAATAAAACAAAATAAAATACACATTCTTCAATAAGCACCCCAATTAATTTGACAATAGGTCAGCAGTCAAGCAAAGATGGTATACTAAAATAGTCTAGTTCATCCTCTGATTATAAATAATTTTTAAAAACCAAAAAACTAACAATTTCGTGTGGCTCAAACTGTGGTAAAATGCTCATTTGCAAGAAAGGAATGGAAAATGTCTGCAATATTCTCAAAGATGATGGCAAAAAGGGTGACAATGCTAGTTTATATGGATACCCAAGAAGCTAAAATTATTTCAACTTGTATCAGACAATTAGAAACATGTTAGAAACTATATGTATAACGAAGTGATTTCAGTAATATATTTTGTATAAGGTTATAAATTTTAAATAGAAATAATTGAATGTAAGTAACTCATCTTCCCAAGTATAAAGATTTATATGAAATGAACAATTTATACATTTTTAAAAACTAAAGTATATTTTAATTTGTATTGATAAGTACAATGACAATAAACTGTCATTTATTGTAGTTCATCTCATTTCTGAAAAATTTCATCTTGTTTTCTATAATAAATAGGTACATTCTAAAATAAATTAATAATCACCAAGATACCAATAATATTATTGAATTATCAGATAAATGTTTGTCAGGACTAAACAAATGCAGAGAAACAAAAATGAAAATGTAGCCAAGAAGTAACATGAATATGAAACAATCATCAATTTACCAACCAGTGGAAAAATATATATGTGTGTGACCTCCTATGAAAACTATCTCATCTGATCAGGAATGAAAGAAAAAGAATGTCCCTTCTGAAGAGGGATATAGGAAAAAATGTGCTTTTCCTCTACACCATGTAGTTTCAAGTGGTTCTTACTGAAGTTACAGATCTAAGACTACACTCATTTTCTGATTCACTGATGTTGCATGAGAGAAATATACATGAGGTTGATTGTGAAAGGTTTCCAATTCTGTTAAAATGATTTTAAGCGCATTTCTTCAAGTGGCAAAATTGTGTCACCCTTTTGTTAAATATTGAATTACTGTACCCCTTGCCCTTCCTTCTTATTCAGGAATAATATATTTCCCATACCTCCCTGGCTTCCATATCTTCTTCCTTTCTTCTCGGGATGTAAAAATATTTAAATCTTGCCTGTCATTAAAAACAAAACAAACTGACCCAAAATGCCTTTACTCTTTACTCCTCCTGCCTGTTGTCTTTCTTTCTCCTCCCTTCAAGACTAAGCTTCTTGAAAGAGATAGTAGTTTTCCTTTTCCAACCACTCATTTAATTTCCATCTAAACTTTGTTCTTTTTGCACTGAAACCTACTGAAGCTGCTTGTACCTGTATCACCAAGGACCTGATTTCCCAATTGCCGTGACTGGTGGGTCCTTCAGGTACTTTATTTACTTGTCCTATTTCATCTTTTAGATTTCTTCATTATAACCACCCTCTACTTGAAACTCTGATATCAGGGAACCAAAAGAAATGAACATGGCACACAGAGACTCCTCCTATTCCATCACATTAATTCAAGACCTACCTGACTTTTTTATTAGTATAGAAATGGCACATTTCTGGAAGTATAAAAAATTAGGGGAATAATAAAAGAAATTTACTGCTTTGAAAATTTACATGTGGTCTTGAAATGCTGCGCTGACTGACTGGCCTGGGAAGGCCACTTTTAGAAGGCGGTGGTATTAACAGTCCCAGTGATAGTCTGGAATCAGGCGAGTTGACAGGAGGGACAGAAGTGGAAGACATGTTTAGACAGGGAGATGAAGCGTCACCACTACGCCAGAAAGTGGATGAGCATCTCTGAAACCTGTGTGGCTCATGACCAGACGTTCTGTGCAGCAGCTGCGAAAGAACGACAGAGAGAAAAACACTAAGGAGAATCAAGAAGGCAAGGAGGAATGGAAAGGATACATGAAAACGAATGTGTAAAAAAGGGTGTTTGGTGAAGATATGATTATTTCATAATAATGTTAAAAAATTAAAACATGTACTTCAAGTTGATTTCTCCTACTGTGAGGGTTCTCAAGATTCTCACTTGCTTAGCTGGATCGTTTCTCAGGGAAATATTTTGTGTTTAGATATTTAAAATAGAATATTGTTTTCATCGGGACCTGAGAGAAAGGGATTAGAGCAGGGAATGAGGACAGCCCCAGTTTTATTTTGGAGAAGTCCTTGGGGTAATGAGATGGAAAGAGAAACTATTGCAATAAGAGAAGATTAGTCACTGAAGGAGGAGTAACTCTCTTAAATAAGTTATAGCTTTGTAGAATCTACAAAAAATGGGTTACACTATGTGTTTTAGATTCAATCTTCAAATCAGTCTTTTCCAACGTTACTAATGGCAAGAGTAACATGTTTTTATTATAATAGGAATTAAGACCCATAGATCTGTGACTTATTCTTCTATGACTAAGAAACATAGCCAAAATTCAGAACAGTATCCAGTCACGGTGACCTTCCTTACAAAGTGAGGAGTTTCTAATGGCAAGGCACAATGGAAATGGGGAGAGACTCTTTAAGAATCTCAAATAAATCACAGAGATAATTTAAAAAAATAAGCAAGTAATACCCTGAGCTGGGTCTGAATATCAGTCTTTGGAAGGCTTCTGGGGGTTATTTCCCTAACCACATAGAAACCTGCTCTCAAGAGCTGAGCTGGAGAGAACACTGTCCTGCCAGATGCCACAGAAGTCAATTAAAACAAGCCAAAATGAAAGTAACGATTAGGCCTTTACTCTGTGATCCCATTAGTGCAAGGCCAGAAAGATGGTGCCTGTTCCATCCATGCTCCATTTTCCCCATGAAATGGCAGTGGGCAAAGTTCAGAAGCATCCCAGTGCAGAAGTGGGACATTGCCTCATTGCTGAGGGAGCCTGAATAAGAAGTTCCTAAGGGTTTTGCGCTGTTGTTGGCCAATGGTCAACAGAGGGGAAAAAGGGTGAAGCTAGGAGTAGAAAAGTACTAAAAACTGAGTCATAGAGGAGAACAAAAAGGCAGTTTGGGCAAAAGCACTCAAAGCAGTCTCAGCCAATGACCCTGTAAAGAGGCCTCTGAATAAATGATGGAAATGCAGAAATACATGAAAGCATGGCTGTCCAGTGGGGCGAGTGCTTGGCTAAACTCCTCCAGCTGTTCACTGATCCTGATGGAATGGGGAGAGCAGCTTCCCCAGAGGGCTTGCTTGGGAGCTTTGACAATCCCAGGTGATCAAGGCTGAAAGATCACACACTGGGTGTGGGTCTGGACTTGGATTCCCCAGCTGCCAGTCACACTCCAACGATTTTTCAACACCAAATAAGATTTAGAGGCAGCCAATTTTGATAAGCTTCATTGTGAAGAGTTACCAAACTAAAATTAGAATTAGAAGAAACCTTAGCGGATGACCTTAGCTGTTTCTCAATGAATGCTTCATCATCCCAACCCCATTCTCTAGTCTTCGTGTACATTCTTTGTTACCCCATGTCTTTCAATAAAGTCCTTTTCCTCTTAAAAAAAAAAAAAGAAGGGACCAACAAGTTTGAGGGATATCCTCTACCTGGGAGTCACCTCTTTACACATTGTAGAAGCAGAGGGGGAAAGGAGACAGTGTAAAGTGAAGTATTTACATTGAACGAAGGATGCAGTGAGTAAGAAACATCCCTGATCATTTCAGTTATATATCACTCTATTAATATGTATATAGCTCTAAAATTATTGACTTCCCTCTTGATCTCCGTAGTGATGTTTCTTCATCTGTTTAACTATATAAGGATAATTCAGGCTATAATTTAAAAAATTCATTTTGAGCATATATCTTTTAGTGAGTGATTCTGTCATTAGTGGCCTCCTTATACTTAATTTTCTGGTTACAATTGAAAGCTCCCTATGCCAGCAATTTTGTTTTCCAAAATACTCTATATAACATATTGCAGTACTATATACATAAATGTATGTATTTTATGAATAAATATTAAATTTTCAGTCAATATTTGCCTAAATTTACTATATTTTATATAAAGCATAAGTTGTCCATATGTTTAGTAAAGTATAATAAAATAGTAAGTAGTAAATATCCTTGGTATCACCTGAATTAAAAATTAAATGGAAATATTCTATATTGGTTTATGACATATAATGGCCAAAAGATATTCACTAGATGCTTCAAAACAGACTGAAGACCAACATAACCTAATACAAAAGCACTCTAGTATTTTTATCATGGTGTTAATACTATGGATTCGCATAGTACTACTTTCTGTGGGAAGGTACATGTAAAAATGATGTTTGTATACAAGATGAAAATAATCAAGTATTCAAATTCCCCAATTAAAGGCAGTTTCACTTTTAAAATGGATACAGTAGGCATATCTGGTAATGCAATAATTCGGGTATAGTGAGTTTAAGATTAACACTCTCTCCACAGGTCTTTTTTGTGTCATTGGTAATTTGGCTTTTTTTTTTTTCCTCCCTGTTTGGGTCATGTAGATCTTTTAAAATACTGAATTAGTTGTTTCCAGGTAAAATAAAGAGATTTCACATAAAATTCAGACTACTCCTTGAGATTTAGCAACATAAAGTTGGCCCACAGACTTGGACAAGAATCACTGACTGACATTGACTATCTACTGAGTCTCTGAAGTGGGCCTGTGCTCTCAAATTTATTGCTACCTCCACATGCCCATATCACACTCTTCTGTCACAGCCTGGGCTTACTGACATTTGGGTTTGTGATCCCTAACCTAGGAATAATTCATGTCAAGAAATTAGATGTAATATCTCTTTCATTGTAAGAAAGAAATCTAAGCCTGGCACATTGAAGTATGTGAGTATATGTCAGCAGCACCTAATTCTTCACCAGTGT